TGCATATAGTCAGGCACCTCATGAGGTAAATCTAAAGAGCAATCCAGAGCAAACCCAGAAGAAAAAAAGGCGGGGAAAAGGGGAACCTCCCCCTTTACACCCAGCCACCAATCCCATCGCAGATCGCCTCACGCAGGGGCCCGCCCTCTCCAGTCAATCAGCCACATGTCATGGCGCCTTGTTAAGCGCTTTCCCCACTAGGTGAAATGAGCTTTCCCTGAGATGGCCGAAGTCCTCCTCCTGCCAGGCCAAGTTCTCTTTTATGACGGGGGGCAGTTCCTGGACCTCGGCTGCCATTGTCCCGGCCTCTTTCTGTGCCTTCCTCTTTCAGGAGCCGCCCCCGGTGAGAGCCGAAGGCCCCGGCTCCTCCAGCGAGGAGAACAGCGACAGCACCTGGACCCCCTCCTTCCCCAGGGCCAAGGCCTTGCCAGGAGGCCCCCGGAGGAAGAAGAAGAAGAAGAACAGGAAGAAGCAGAAGCAGAAGAAGAAGGTGGCCGGGGCGGGCAGGAGAGCCCGGCGTCCCCCGGCGGGCGCTGAGAAACGCAGCAACGCCTCCTCGCCCCCCCTGCAGCTGAAGAAGAAGTGCGTGAACGGCTTCATCATGTTTTGTCGCCTGAACCGCAAGCACTTCATCCGGTGAGGGCCTGGAGATGAGACCCCGGCAGGCGCGGGCCTTCGCTTGCTACCCTTAGCGGGCCTGCAGCGGTTTAGCTTCTCTCAAGAGACAGGTGGTCCTCGACTTACGGCCGCAGCGGAGCCTGACGTTTCTGTGGCTCAGTGAGACCTTTGTTAAGCGGGCTTTGCCCTCTGCCCCCTTTTACGATCTTTCCTTGCCACTTTTGTCGAGTGAATCACTGCAGTTGTAAAGTTAGCCACACGGTTGTTCAGTGAATCCTGGGCTTGGCTTGTCGGAAGGTCGCAAAAGGAGATCAAAGGTGATCGTGCGACCTCAGGACAATGCAACCGTCCTAAATATGAGTATCAGTCGCCAAGTGTCCAAAGGTAAATCATGTGACCGTGGGGATGCATCTGAATACAAATCAGGTGACCGCAGGGATTCTGCAACGGTCATAAAATGTGAAAAGCGGTCATAAGTCACTTTTTTTCAGTGCTCTTGTAACTTCGAACAGTCACTAAATGAACCAGTGTAAGTCAAGGACTACCTGTATATCATCACCGCTGGAATAGGCCTGTAATGTCAATCATTGTCCTTTCTTTCTATTCTTATATAGTGGAAGTTGGGGCTGACTTACTTACAGCCCTAGTGAGCTCTTTGCTACGTTGAGATTTAACTAGGGGCTTTTAAATTCAGGGCCATTTGGAATCTTGTAAATACTATACTGCCAGCAGGAAGCAATTAGGGAACATTTAAAATAAGGGAGCAAATCCTCAAAGACCAGACATTTTAGCAGTAAAGCAACAACATATAATAAATACATCCAAAAATACAAAAAAAATCATACAATACACTTACGAAGATCAGTTAAGCATCAAGAATCTGTATTTGCAAAACATTTGGCCTGGGCTAGCAATAACATTTAGACTTTCCAGCCATCTCTAAGCAGTTTACAGAGTCGGTATCTTGCCCCCAACAATATGGGTCCTCGTTTTACTGACCTTGGAAGGCTGAGTCAACCTTGAGCCAGTCAGGATCGAACTCCTGGCGGTCAAATTCCTGGCTTGGGTAATGCTCACTATAGAAACATTGTTTTCCTGACACCTTTGAGGGATTTAGAGACCTTGACAATACCTTGGCTGCCTGTCTTTGATGAGTTTGATCAAACGGTTGTTTTCATCTCTTCATAGCACTTGCCCAGGCATGGCTTCCACTGCCGCTACAAGGGAGCTGGCCCAGCTGTGGCGCATGATGACAAAACAGGAGCGGAAGCCATATTGGTATGTTTGCTTTGGGCCACAGTGGATGATAAAGGGATCAGGTAAAATTCTTAGAAAGAATCAGTCAGCCATGTTGTAGAACGGGGTGTGTGTGTGTGTGTTCAACCTTGGCAGCCTTAAGACTTGTGGACTTCATCTCCCACAATTCCCCAGCCGGCTCGACAGATAATCAGAACGGAAAAACCTTTCTTAGGTTCCAAACTTCCTTTTTACGCTCTTTCCCTCTTTCCCACAGCATGAAAGCTCGCCGATTCAGTCGCCTCAACAACCGAATTGTGAGAGACGACTTCTCCAGCGGCGATGAGGAAGCGGAACCGCCCAAACCCTTCCACCTGCTGCTTGCAGAGAAATCCATTCCTGGCACCCAGACAGTGGGCAACGTCTCTTTGTTAGGCTGTATTCCATGATTCTTCCCCGCTGGGATGGTAACGTATCTCTTATTCAGTGGGGTCTGGAACATTCTCTCTGCCGATGAGGTTGGACCTTCCCTACCCAGGGTTCTGCAGTAGAGCGTGTGCCTGCTCCATTTCAGCAAAGTATCAAGCAACAAGAGCTTTACTTGGTCTCGTTGACAGGGGGAATGTAGAGAAGCAACAACAAGGAAGGAGGCCATTTGCCCTGTTTCTCCCCAAAACATCAGCTTTCCCCAGCTATTTTCCTTGCTATTTTCCTTGTACCATATCCCACCACCAAAGTTTCATCTGTCGTTAGGCATTTGGGTTTCCCGAGCAGAACGAAGGTTATCAGTAGATGGAATGGGTTTTTCCCCCCATATTTCCAGATGTTCCAGTCACTAAGGTCCTACATATGCGTGTTCTATGTCCAAAATGGATCTCTAGTGATCTTGAACAAAGCAGGATCAACTGCAGGCAGGAAACGGGAGGAGGAAGGGGAACCACCAGCTCTAGATGACAGGACCATGTGGGTCTATTTGAGAACATGCCAAGTTTGAGATTTTATATTAACTTTTATCCTTGATCTAAAAGCACAAATGAATTTGAAAGGATCTGCTTTTAAAAATAATTTTAATGGGCTGGAGACAAACATCTAAGATGTATATTTATTGTCTGAGCTTTTATCTGCCCTTCGTCGCCCACAGCTCGGTGCCATAGATGTTCTCAGATCCACCCCACCAGTTTAGTTACCAGCAGTTTAGTTCCATATTTGGGGAGTACAAATGGAATTTTTGAGGTCCATACAGGCTCGCTTGTTCCACACCAAGTTTCAGGCTTTATCACATAGTAAATGGTTTCTAGATGTTTTAAACTTTTAACTGAGGCAAGTCCATTTCAGAGCTTGCTCTGGGTGGCATTGAGTTCCCACTGACCCCGTTAGGTGGGCCAGTACCTCAGAATCCTAAAGGAGGAATGAACCTGCAGGTTTGCTTTTGTTCAAGGAGAGTTAAGAAGTTTTAAAGAGACGAAACTGGTTCTGAGCTAAGGAGGGTTAATGCCTCATATTGAGAAGGGAGAATTTTGTCTTTAGGAGGAGCTTAAATCAGACTCTTATATTTCTGGTTGGTTTGGGTTTTGTTTCGGTGGAATGCTGAGTCACCCCTTTCCTCTTGTCGATTGTGTCCTCCATACACGGATCAATTTGTGTTTGAAATACTGTTTTAAGCTTCAATGGATCTTTCCATTGTTTTTACCTATTTATATATTTATTGGTAGTTTCCCCCCACCTCCTCAACTCTATTTATAATTAAAATAAAAGATGGCAGTAAATTTAACTGATTGGGTGCCTCCGTGTCTCTTCTCTGATCTGAGCGGTTGTGAAAGTGAAAGGCTGCAGGGCGTAATCAGTATATATTTAGATAACTCCCATGTCGTGTAGGCAGCAGAACTCCTAATCGTGCCTTAACAGGTAGTAGTCCTTGACTTAACGACCATCCGTTTAGCAACTATTCAAAGTTATAATGACACTGAAAAAAGTAACTTTTGGGGCCTCCCTCCCACATGTACAACCATGGCAGCCTCCCCATGGTCACATGATCACAATTCAGGCCCTTGGCAATTGGGTGTGTATTTAAGAAGGTTCCAGCATCCCATGGTTGTGAGATTGCCACTTGCCACCTTCCAGGCCGGCTTCCGATAAAGTCCATGGAGGAAACCAGATTCACTTAACAACTGCATGATTCCCTTCCCAAGGGCAGTGATTCATCTAACAACTATGGCCAAAAAAAAAAAGGTCATAAAACAGGGCACAACTCACCTTAGCAACAGAAACTCTGGTTCCAATTGTTGTTCTCAGTTGAGGACCACCTGTACTTGGAATCTATTATTGTAAGTTCCTCGTTCATATGATCTTTAAAACAGTTTTATAAAGCCAAGTAGCATTATTGTTACAGGATCCCCACTCTGCAAATTGGGAGACTGTTGATGTACTTCACAAATCTGACCTAGAAACACTTATTTGCCCTAGAGCTTTCTAAGCCCACTGTGCAGTCTTGTGCATGCCTATTTAAAAATAATTCCCAAAAATGTCCTCAAATAGAAAATTGCAGCTTCTGTCACAAATCCGAGGAACTACCGTAGAACATCGTTGCACCCAACACTTTTCTTTGGAGCCACGGCAGGTGTGCGAAGAAGCAAGCAGACTAACAACCCCACAAAGACTTGTATCAGGCACGAAGCAAGTGGGCAGTAGGGTTTTTTTTTACCTGGACGCAAACCAAGAATTAGTGAATCTCTACCCTGGATAAACTTTGTTTTTTTTTTCTATTTTACATTTATTTAAAAAAATTATTAGAAAAAACGTGATTTGGCTTTGATGGACTACTTGCATATGCCGTTGGATTCCGCAGTCGGTCCCCAAAGGCCCCAGTGCCCATCCTACACCTTTCAAGAGGGATATTCCAGGGTTATTCCGATCCTATTGCTGGACCTCTCTGCCAAAGGAGTCACCAGCAGAGGATCAGTACCAGGATTTCCCCACCTCCTTCGTTTCTTAGTTCCATTTGAAATCCTCTCCAACGCGGTTCTCTATCCAAATCCTGAAGGTTCTTGGCACGGTGATACGCAAATCACATCTGTTCTCTCTGGGGGAATAAGTGTTTGTATGTGCTCAGCTGTCCAGGCCTAAGTCCTAATTAATCTTAATTGGGTGCTTTCTACTTTAAACAGATGTTCCTGCCGCAGACACCCAACCTGACCTTAAAACTCTGTGATTCTGTGCTGTTAGCTGCTCGTCTGCTCTTTACTTTTGCTTGGCTCTGTAGTTGTTTTTTTGCAACGAAGTGATTCCCGTGCCGTTGTTTTTAGGGCACAGAGAGCGCAGGAATCAAGAATTCGGCCAGTCAGGGAATGCGCAGAGAGAAGAAATTTCAGATCGGATGGCTTCAACTTTTCTCGCAGTTGCAAAAAAAACACGTGACACGTTCTACACACCACCACCCCCCGTGGAACGTGGCCCGTTTTTGCTTCATATGAAATAATGGTGATAGAATACGGTGGTGCCGCAGTCTTTCCCTCTTCCAAAGAGGCACGATGTGATGATCCTCACCTCGGTTGGAAACGGGGACGTTTACACGCGGAGGGGGCAGGAACCAAGAAAGCAGCCCGCCGAAGGGGGCTGTGTCTTCTTGTGCTTTTTTTTCAGGACCCCAGGTTTATGAGCGTGGAAGTGAGGGACCCCAGGAGGCCATTGTGGAGCGGGGGCTGGCTCTGCAGGTAATCCACCTGTTGGGCATTGTGAATGGCGGGTCCCTCAGGAACCGAAAGCTGCAAGGCCGGGTAGAGCAGGGAGGGGCTGTCGAGGGGGGAGCTTTCGTCCTCAGAGCTGGGGATCAGCTGTTTGTCTCCGGGCAGGCCAGGCCCTTCCTTCAACACGCCGCCCTCGCCGTTTTCCCTGCAGCCAAAAAGAAAGAAACGACATTCCCGAGTCCGCGAGATTCCGGAATTCTATTGCCGAGATGCCAACCAAATCGATGGGTCTTAAAAACTTAAACCGAATCGGTGGCGCGTTTGAATAAATCTTTCAGCTTTCTCTGGGATATTTCAGGGGTGCCTGCAGAAAAATCAAGAGGGGTGGCCCCAATGGGGAGATTAAACCCCCCCACACACACACACTCCTGTTTTTATCTGAGATTGATTAGATTTTTATTGTCTTTATTACTTTAGAATTAACTTAAGGCAGCAAACATGCCAAACACTCTTCCTTTCTCCCGTTTTATCTGGGTTTTACATAAAAAGCAGGCAGCAATCTGTCCTTGCCACCTTCTTGGCTTTTGGGACCGTACCCTGCAGATATATATATATATATTTTAAATCATTTATTATCCATACCACATAGTTAAAACCCATTACATCTTAAAATGGCTGGGGTTGAGAAATGCCGTCTTAGTGGCGTGAAAGACGGAAAAGCAAGAGAGGTCTCTTTCCCTCTGCTTCCTTCTCACCTGAGATTCCCCCCCCAGCGCTTCTGTTCTACACCTGCTGATGCCTCAGTCCCCGTTTCCTGGCTCATCCTAGCCCTCACCTGCATGTCTCGGCCCCAGGACCCCTTTTCTGCCCCGGGTCCCATCGGATTTTCTGTATGCTGCGGCTGCTGCGGTCAGAAATCGAATGTTTGCAAACTTACTCTTGTTAAGCCTGCCAGAGGTCATCCATATGGCAAGACGGGCGGCTAAAACATTTTTCACAAATCAATCAATCCGGAATAGCTGGCTTGAATTTCCTGCTGGCAAAGAAGCCCCCCCCCCTCACCTCTCTTTGGTCTCTGCCGCACGATCCCTCTGGCGCCGGTTCTTGAACCAGTTGCTGACCTGAGTTGTGGTCAGCCCAGTCGCTTCGGCCAGCTCTCTTTTCTCACGAGGGGACGGGTAGGGGTTGTGGATATACCATTCCCTTAACACACTCCGGGATTTTTCCTGTAGGAAAAGTCGTTGCACTTAGCATTGGCAGGTAGTCCTCGACTTAAAAGCTGTTCGTTTAACAACGGTTCAAAGTTACAGAGGCCTCAGAAAAAATTGACTTACAATCCGTCCTCGAAGTTAACCCCCCCTTTTCACCTGACTTGCCGTCGGGCGGTTGGAAACTGGGTTGCATTTATGACCGTTGCAATTTCTTGAAGTCATGTAATTATGATCTGTGTCCTTCCATGCTGGCTTCCCACAAGCGATGTCAATGGGGGGGGGAAAGCCAGATTCGCTTAACAGCAGTAAAAATGGTCGTAAAATTGGGTACGGTCACCTAGTGGCTCCCTTAATGACCACATCACGTCACGCCTGAAATTCTCGTCCCAATGGTCATAAATCAAGGACTCAATAATCAGACACAAATAGTAAAAGCAAAAATTTCCTCTCTGCACTCATTGTAATTAGTGAGTTAATTGTAATGAGCTTTGTGTCGTGTGGCACTGAACTCTAACCTACCCAGACAGAGACGGTAGTTCAGTTTTTTTGAGCATTTTTATTGTTAATTTCTAAACATTTTCCAGCTGGGGCAACAAAATCTGTATTTGCTGTAAATGTATTTATCTTGGAATTCAGAATCAATAACCTGAGTGCCGTTTTCCTATGATTTCAAAATCCGGTTTTTTTTTTTCATTTTGTTTTTTGAATTGCTGCAAGTAACTTTGTCCACACTTTCGCCAGTTAGACCAACTTCTAAAAGCAAACAGTATTGTTTTAAGTGCATATATTTCAAGGTCAGGTTAAATGTTACAATGTAACCCGCAGGGGGCAATGTCATCATTCTTTGATCTTGGTTGTCTTCCAAAAATGAGCACACAATCCCTGCACCCTTCTTTCATTTTTAATCAAGGGTGAAATTTTGCGAAGCCTGAAGGTTTGAGCTGTTCTGTAATTTAATGGCGAAGGAAAAACTTGCTTCGCTATAATAATGGAGTTAGGCCATATATTATCTCCCTCGGCTGCCAAAGGCTGCATAAAATAAATGTTTTTTGAAACTTTTCCAGAATGTTCTTGGAGATGAATGATTAGGGCCTCCTTCAGATGATTATTTCAGAATGTTTCTTGGAGGAATTTGGAGGAAGCGGGAAATGGCATGAAAAACTGAAGCAGGCTAGAGACCCCTTCCCCAACTATCTCCCCATCTAAATTTTGCAGTAAATAAGATAAATACAAAGGCAAGGATGACAGGGAAAGAAGGGGAAGGAAAACTTGTATTATGTATTTTCAGTTGACTTTTAAAGGTGGAGGCAAGACGTGAAAAAGTGTTGAGCAGTGATGAAAAGTCAGACTCCTGAACCTTACAATCCCTGAAAGTCTGGGGCCTGCCACGCAGGGCTCCTTTAAAAGTGGCTACACCTTTTTCCTTTTTTCCCTTAAGAAAAATTTTAAAAAGGGTACATCCACAGGAGAGATATTCCGGTACAGATCTTTAATTATTTAACAAATTAAGCAGAATTAAAACAGGTGAAATTTTAATCTTCACCCAAGAAACATTTTTGTCTTTTTCCCTTTCGACTTCCTGAAATAGTAGAACCCCAGTTTCCAAAGACCGAGGGGCAGCGCTCAGCCTGAAAAAGTTTTACGTCCTGATGGTTAAAAGGACATTTCAAAGGGCAGGTTTCTTGTATCAAACCAGCATTAAGGCGAGACTCGTAGGAAAAAGAGTAGGGGGTCTAATAGAAACAAAGAGATGAGGGTCAGTAGGGGAGATTTCTTGGCAGGAGGAGAAAGGAGGAGTGTTGGATCCAT